TTAAAGTGTTAGCCAACTTCTCTTCTTGTACTCAACTTTGGAATCCTCATTTATTAAGAAGATAAGATTTTATTTGTAAATTCATTTTGAATTGTGGGTCGTGTTGAGGTCTCGAAAAAGCTCAACATTGTAAAATGATCGGTGCTCTTTGAATGTATGTCACCGGAAGCATTGTAAAGGGTTGGATTGCACCACAAGTCAATCAACATAATGAAAAAGGCATTTCTCATGACGGAGAGCTTGGTAATGGGGGACGTAGATCGTTGGTTGGATCGAACCTTCATAACATATTGTTTGCACTCTCTAACTCCCTTTTAATTATCACTTTTATATTTGTGCTTATTATTTGAATTAATCTACTTAGTCTTTACTTACTTGAATTTAGATTAATTCTTCGAAAAAGTTTTAAAAACCAATTCACCCCCCTTTGGTTAGCCTATCTTGGGTTTACAATAAGAAGTTTAGCGATATTGTTACATTTGATACCACTTACTTTACAAACAAGTATGACATGCCTTTTGCCCCTTTTGTTGGTGTCAATCATCACGGACAATCAACACTATTTATTATGGTTCGGTATCGAACAAAGACACAGATACCTTTGTGTGGTTGTTTAGAACATGGCTTCAGTGTATACACAACAATGCGCCATTTTGAATAATTACCAATCAAGACAAGGCAATGAAAAATGCAATTCATATCTTTTTTCCAAACACAAGACATATATGGTGCTTGTGGCACATCATGAAGAAGTTGCTCGAGAAGTTTGGATACCATGACTATAAGGCATCGATATTTCGGGCAATAGACGTATTGGATTACGATTCGCAGTTTCCTTAAGAATTCGAAGAAGGTTGGACTGCTTTCATTGATAACTATGCCTTGCATGATAATGATTGGTTATCCGGATTATATGAGAATAGAGGTCATTGGGTTCTTTGTTTTCTGAAGACTAGTTTTTGGGCAGGAATGTCAACAACACAAAGAAGTGATAGCATGAATGCATTCTTGGATGGGTATGTCCATTCTAAGACCACATTGAAGTAGTTTGTCGAACAATATGAACGAGCATTGTGTAATAAAGTTGAGAAAGAGTTCCAAACTGATTTCAAGTCATTTTCACAAATGTTACCATGTGCCACACAATATGAAATGGAGCAGCAGTTTCGATCAGTTTACATAATTTCAAAACTCAGGGAAGCTCAAGAGGAGTTCACATGGAAGGTTTACTACAATATCATATTTACTTCCGAATGGAACTCTGGAATGATATTCGAGGTACGGGAGGATGTCATATATGAAGGGCGCCGTAAGAAATTTTTTTTTCATCTCATTCGATAGCCATGATTGTAATATTGTTTGCAGTTGTCACTTGTTCGAGTTTCGAGGAATAGTTTGTCGGCATGCGATTGCAGTACTGATTCGTTGCAACGTCACATCACTTCCGGAAAGATACATACTACGGCGATAGAAGAAAGATGTGAGTAGAGCACACACTAGGGTAGCAGTGAATTACGATGGTTTGGTTTGTTCTCCTGAACAGATGAGATATGACGACATGTGTCGCGCTTTCGCGGAGTTGGCAGACCTCACCGCAGATGATGAAGGCCTATCATGTGTGATTATGGATTTGATAAAACTTCGATGTAAAGATCTTATGACGTCAAAGAAGTCATGTAGTTGTATCAATACCATCTCGCAGCATACCATTCAATTAGTTGATCAGTGCAACGACTCTCAAAATAATGCCAACGTAACTATATGTGATCCGAAATCATCGCTCACGAAGGGGGCGCCGAAGAAACTTCGGAGAAAGGGTCCATTAGAATCGACTTCTAAGAAAGCCAAGGTATGTTAACACCTTACACTATGTGCTACAAATGTTTCAACAAAATTAACACTAAGATCATATCGTCCACATTCAGGGCATTCCGACATCGAGCAAAGGGAAGCGCCCGAGAACGAGGAAAAGTGATATGGCAAATAATGTTGTCGACAATCAATTATTTCAACCACAACAATATTCCATGACGACACCATGCTCATATGTACAGTATTTCGTGCCAACGACATTCCCGTTCTTGCAATATCCCATCGCAAGACCACTATCCTTTGGAGGTTGATCCCTCCTCCATCAGCAAATGTTAATTACAGTTCACAAGGTAAGAACAGTGTGAGACATGTAAAATCCAGATGTGTAGTTCATTTATGTAATAGCGGTTAATGTTCTCATGTATTGTAGGTGAAGCAATGTCGTACTACAACCCCCATTCACCAGACCAAGGTGAATTAGGCAACTGATGTTTGTTTATGCTTGATGATAGAATTGTTCATCCATTCAAAGGTTCGTAAGAAAATGATTCTAATATTTTTTATGTGAGGAAGGGGGGTTTTTTTCGATGTGCATTTTCTATATACAAATGTGGTTTTTTTTTTTTTTTTAATTCTGTGCATTTTCAATATATGAAGGGATTTTTTTCTTTAGTGCATTGTGACTTCATTTATTCAAGGTATGAGCTTGATGGGTATTCTTATGGTGCAGGTTTCAATGTAAAGGAGGAGATAAATTAAGCTACTTCTCAGTCCCTTGCAAAAATGGCTTGTTTGTCAAAATTTTCAAAACTTATTCTATTGTTTGTTGCTATGACAAGTTATTCTTTTGAGAGTATGGATATTGTTGGATGATAAATGAATGATTTTGACTATAATAGTTATGTTAACACTCATTTTGTCTAATGTCATTTTCATGTCTGGAGTGATTTTAATGCAGTCATCATTTAAAGAATTATCACATATTTTAATTGGAGGTGGTGGATTCATTAAAAGAGTGATTAATCCAATTGTTCAACAGCTTGAGCATCTATGCAGCACGGTTTTATTCTGTGGAGTTAATTGTGGGAGCAATTTAATAGGAAGAATAACTTACATTTCATTAAAAGAGTGATTATATAGTAATTCAATTGTTCAACAGCCCTTGTAGGTAAGAAGATACAAATGTACATGACACAATGTTTACGAACATAGTTCACATAGCATCGGTCATAATAATCCTACATATACAAAAGTTTATGGAACCTATCGATTAATAACTACTAATCAAGGTGACCCCTCTACTCATGTGTTCGACCCCGTGCTAACTTTTGCCTTGCACACCGTCACGTTCACCGAAATATGAAGGTCTACTTCATCGTTCACCCGAATGCGAGATTGGAACATATGCGATATATCGTCAACTCTTTTGACCGCCGCATGGTTAACTGAGAAAGTGCTACCATTAAATGATTCACCGCTTGATTTTTCCTTCACAACCCAATCCCAAAAACCACAATTATCACTGCAGCAAAGAAATAATCGCCCTTTATTTACAGTCTCCTTCTCCACCATGAAACACTTCTCAAATCCATGTTTGCATGATGGACATCGGCGTTTCCGTGGGCATTCAACATAGTAATGGCTTTTAGATCTACAACTATGACATATTCCAACATTCCTTCTAACCATTCTGCGATGGGAATAAAATCAATATAACATACTAAACAAAAATTCTCCAACAAAAATTGTCAACATTTCAGTCATGTAGGTAAGTAGCATTCCAAGTTATCCCAAACGAAATCAATATAACATACTAAAAATGAATTCAATAACCCAGCTAGATTGAATGAGAAATTATAGATCCATGATGAAATGAATATAGCTGCAATAAAGTTTAGGGGAACGAACGCAGTGACCAATTTCGAGATGAGTCGTTACGATATGGAAGCCATTGCCAAGAGTTCCCTTCCAGTTGGTAGGACAACCAAGCACTTGAAACTCTCACTCGAAGCCAAAGGAAAACCTCCTACTAATGCTAACCCCCTTCAGCAGCCCATATCCACCATTCCATGTAGAATACCATTTGATGTCAACTTCTTCCACCACCTCCATCCCACTAATGTAGGTGTCTCCGCTGCTGCCCCGACCATGGTAACTCCAATGCCAGCTGATTTTTTCATATGGCCTCTATTAAATACTCTACTGATAGCAACCTTTAGGCTCTATCATTTACAGTAATTTCTTTTAAGCTGGCCTTCATCTAACCCAGAAATATAAGATACTACTGATGATATAGCTGCGTTTGCTCCCCTAAACATTATTAAATTTCTTGGTGGTTATATTATATAATTTATATACCAGCAAATAAGTGGAGAAAGAGAAAAGGGGGAAAATACGATTTGCTCGAAATCTACCTGTTTATAACTTCATTTTTCTTCTTCCAAACAGTTGCTGATAGCTACAAAGGAAGAGCAGCTGGAGTGGAGCAAAGGAAACTTCGAGCAATCGTGACCTTCAAAATCGTCCGGTGGCGGAATAGTACATGAAATTGCTACCAGAGGACGCGATGATACCTTAGAATGACGTGCAACAGGAGATGATGACACTGCCACGCTTGATTTGGGTGGAGTGTTAGTGGTGGGTGTGGATTTGGAGGAATGAGTGTGCATTTGGGGGAAGGGGTCGTTGCATCTGGGGAGGGGTTGCAATTTTGATTAATTTAATCTTTTGTTTTTTTTAAATTGGTTGCCATGTCAGCTGGGAAAATGCCTGTCAATTACCCTGGGTGTGTAGCGCGATTGTTTATCCTATTATTATCACCAATTGAAGTGGCAGGTGACATCTAATTCATTGTGATATGTATTAGAAGACATCAAAATTTCATTGGACAATGAATCCCGAGTCATATCGGCTATACTATCCATATATGTGACTATTAAATGATGAATAATATTTTTCTTTGTCTAAGCTTTATAATTTATTTTTGGAATTTTGATATAAATGATCTTTAACCTTTGTCTTCATTGTATAAATAGTCCTTAAGGTTTATTCTTCACACGTAAGTTCCTAACCTACGTGTTTTAGTGCGTGATTGGTCCTTTTATTGGTAAAAAGACCACTATGCCCTTAATTTTGAATGGGAAAAATTATAGCTAGGTTCTAATCTTTGGTAAAAGTACAAATGGATCCCCAACCTTTATCTAATATTTTTTAATTTAGCATACTAAATATTTCATTGTAGTCATGTTAATTCATTTTTATCGGAAGGAAAGAGAAGTTAATCTATCATGCTTTAAGTGTATGTGATTGTTTTGTGATGTGCAAAAAATTGAATTAAAATCAAGATAAATATATATGATTTAACATAAAAAATTATTTAAGAAATTATATGCTCTTTATTTAATTTATTAAATGATAAATAAATATGAAAATATAGTTGAAAGTGTAATGTATATAGTTAATAAACAAATGGCTCAATAAAAAGGACAAATGACACAACTAGATAAAGCATCGGTAAACCTAACAATGAAGCAACAGGGAAATTGTTCGGATGGATGGTGTAGATCCAAGTGGTTAGTAGTTGTATCACCCCATATTTTGTGTTAGTAACATAACAACAATGAATGATGGATGGGTTGTAATGGAGGACGAGGGCAATTGACTGTCTTGGGTTGTTGGTTTATGTCAACAAGTTGGGTAATGGTTCAAGTGTAGTACCTGGAATTTTCATTAGTTGCTAAAAAGTTATCTAGGCTAGTTTAGTAATTTAGAGAAGTTCATGTGTCAAACTCTATTTGAAGAAAACTTGGACGAAGGATTTTTTGTGGACTCCTATTATGATCTTAATTAAGGTCGATCATAAACTTACAAGTTTCAATTTTAAGTTTAGAGGCATTCGCAATTTTGGCGAGGTTGGGATCAACTTGTAATTCTTCTATTTTTGAGGAACTAAATAGCAATTTTCATAATTTATGGTGTGCAAGTAGGAAGTGTACATTTTTGTGCCAATAATGATTATTGGGCTTTGAAAAATGGGGAAAAAAGAATGTACAAGGGAGTTTTACAGGGCGAGACGTGGCATTTTTGGATTGGATGATGGAAAAAAAAGGGATAAAAACAGACAAATGTAGTGCTGACACTTGACATATGGCAAAAAAACTGTAAAACTCACCTGTAACATTGTTCTTGAAAAATCTGTTTGGTTTTTAGATAAAAAGGTTAGGGACATGGGTATGCCTATTATATCATGGCTAACTAATGGTTGTAGTATAACACGATCCAAGCTTAACCAAACTAGGGGGCTAGCCAATGTCATGTGAGAAAAATACATATATAAGGTGATATCAAGATATAATTTCAAAATTAAGAAACTTGTTTTTAAATTTCAAAATTCAAAGCATAAATAAAATGTTAATTATATATATACAAGATATGAAAGATATTTAAAAAAGATTCTCCCTTAAGGAATTTGATACACATTCCTTTCAAAAATCATATGGTGTTAAATTAAAAATATTTTATTAATTAAATATATTAAGGTTCCAATATCATACAATTTTTGTCCACAGTACTAGTCAACATCACAGAATATCACACTCACAAATTACAAATTTTATAAGTTACAACTTATTTATTGATCACACATTATTTCTCGATCACAAGTTATCAAATTTTATAAGTTACAACTTATTTATCGATTATAAATTATCAAATTAATTAGTCATAACTTATTTTAATGGTCACAAATTTTTAAATTAATTAATCACAACTTATTTATCACAAAAACACAAATATATAAGTCATAATTACAAATTTAGTCACAAATCACACGATTTTATGTTACATTATTTATTGATGACAATTTATTCATTTTGTTGGTCACAATTACTAAATAATTGGTCACAATCACTTTTTATCCTACTCATTCCTCTCACCACCACCCAAAAAATTGATGTCATCTCACCGCCACCATACCACTATCTCCAATGTACCACACAGTACACAAGAATCCATCATCACCGCCTCCAAATGGACAACCCACACATAGATCAGTACACACACACGATCGAGCATCGTTGCTACAGATGCAGGAAACAACGATGACTATCTCCTATAAAATACAAAAATGAAAGCTTTAAACAATTCAAATTAAACAAAGAAAAATTAATATTTTAAAATAAAAATAGAATAAAGAGAAAAATCTGAACGATGGATGATTCAAATGCGGCTTTGTGAATTTTTCGAGATCTCCTCCATCTTCAATTCATCCATAACTAATTTCTTATAACTTTTCTTAACATAAAACACTAGCTTCTAAAATCCATAAAATCAGGGAAAAAAAAACTATTGGCATTATATCCTTCGGAATATTATCCAAAAAAGGGCACAACAACTCACCTTTAACTTCTCGGAAGCAAGAGGAATGCCCAAGTAGCGAAAAGGCATTGTACCCTTTGGAATATTGGTCATTTCTTGGATTTCATCAAGCTCAAGTCCATGTATTCCAGCTGTAAATAGGCTGGATTTAAGATTATTCATCTTCGTTCCCGATGCATTTCCAAAGTTGTTCAAACAATTCATCGAAATTCCCAACGAAGTGACATCACCCCTTGAAAATAGAATTAAATCATCCGCAAATACAAGGGAAACATAACCCCTCAAGCATTTGCTTTAAAAATCCCCAATCAACCGAATCATATGCCTTGCGAAGAACAACCTTGAGTAGACATCTTAGGGCAACCCGTTTTCAATTATATTGCCTCATGAGCTTTTGAGCAAGATGGATGTTTTCCATCATACTCCTACCTTCCACAAATGCAGTTTGAGCTTGGTCCAAAATAGGCCTCAACCGCGATGCTAGAATCTTTGTAATAACCTTGTAGAACACATTACAACAAGAAATAGGCCTATAGTCTCCAACAATCATAGTGTGGCTAGATTTAGGAACCAAAGCAATAACCATATGACTGACTTGTTTGAGAAGAGAACTCGATGCAAAAAATTCTTTAATAGCTTCGACAAAATCCACTCCGACAATCCCCCATGCTTTCTTGAAAAAACATGATGAGTAACCATCCAGCCCGGGAGGCTTATCATCACAAACATTAAAGAGTGTCTCCTTAACTTCTTGGCTAGAGATATCCCGAACAAGAGAACAACTTTGCTCCAAAGAAATTAAAGGTGCCTCATTTAAATTTTTTTGCTCAATGGGTATATTTGGACAGCTTGTTCCAAGTAAAGAAGTATAGAATTTGACAAACTCACGAGCAACTTCCACTTGCGATGTAGTGTAGCAACCATCCTCCTTAAGAACTTTATCAATGAAGTTCTTCCTCGTGTTACGCTTAACCATAACATGGAAGAATTTGGTACATTTGTCACTATTAATAAGGAAATTGCACTTTGTTTGTTGGAAGTAGAAACTCCTTTCCGCTTAACTTAAAACACACGCTTTTTTCCTCAACTCGGCCTCTAAAACTTGATAGTGTTGGTTAGTGGGCTGACCATGATGCATTTGTTGACCCTCCTCCAACTCCATTTTTGTCATGTTGGCCCTAGTACATATGTGTGCAAAATGCTTGGCATTAGGTGCCTTCAATGTTCTCTTCAATTTTTGCAATTTTTTGCAAAACATATATTGTTTCGTTCCTCCATCGATGCAATTCCAACCCCTTTGAACAACTTCTGAAAAGTCCTCATGGTTTGTCCACATATTGAAGAATCTAAAAGGCCACTTGTTGCTTCCATCCTGCTCCAAAACCAAGACAATACAAGGAGAATGATCGGAAAGGCAATCCGACGGTGAAAAATCAACACAAGCATAAGCACCATTTTGCATCCAAATTTCATTTACCATCTCCTTATCAAGCTTACCCCACATGGAATTGTTAGTCCAAGTATAAAGACAACCTGTGGACCTTAAATCCATGAGACCAACTTGAAGGCAACAATTAGCATAATCCTTCAATTCATATGGCGTCACTTCCGCACAATTACATTTTTCATCAAACTTCAAGACATTATTGAAATCCCCAAGCACCAACCAAGGTACCNAATCCTTCAATTCATATGGCGTAACTTCCGCACCATTACATTTTTCATCAAACTTCAAGACATTATTGAAATCCCCAAGCACCAACCAAGGTACCAAGACCCTCAAATTCATGATACTACTGCAAAGTGGCCTCCGGAAGACAATAGTATGGAATGCATAAACAAAGCTAACATGAAAAGTAAATGAGGTTACCTTGCAAGTAGCAATACAATGCATGATCTGTGGTGTGCTCTCCACCACCTCCAAAAAGACCTTCGTAAGATTCCCAAAAATCAAAATTCTACCGGCTTGATGTGTGCAAAAGTTGTTAACTTGCACCAACCCACTGAATTTATTCTTCATGATACGGTCCAATTTTGATTCCCCAAGTTTCGTCTGCAAAACTCCCATAACATCAATGTTATGCTTCTTGATGAATTCCCAAACATCGTTTTGTTTTAGGGGTAGGTTTAAACCC